ATCAATATTCATGTCACTGCATGCGCACATGTTATATTCTGTATCAACCCTCTATATCAGGTACACAAAATGGTTCAGGGTGACAGAAGCCCTCAGACAAAAAGGTAACAAAGAACTGCCTGGTGTGGCACGTTGGTGTTGGTGGAGGGTACTAGACATGTGACACAGAAACTGCCTTGGAAATTAGCCAAAGTGTTCCTACAGAACTGTACCTGTTATTTCCAGGCATGTATGTGTTAAAGAATAAAGCACACCAGTTCCATCGACTGGCAACTGCATTAAAAAAAAAAAATTCAATACATGCCATACTGCATGACATTTTTTGGCTTGTATGTGTGGCTCCGTGGAATAAGTGAGCACGTTAGCAAAGTAAGTGAAAGGAACTCGCACATGCAAAAGTTTGAAGTGTCTGCGTGCCAAGGAGAAAGACAAATCCACTAGATTTAGGGCAAGAATATTTGTCAAACCATAGAGAAAGAACGATGGTCCAAGGCCAAGATTTCCTCCAACCCTTCCACCCTAAAAAGACACTTCCCAGATAGAACACCAATGAAATGTACACTTATACATACATGCAGGCCTACAGTTTCCAACTTCTGCCAAACTTCCATTCACTAAACAGAAGCGGATCTACAGGGAGGTTGGGGGTTGCAACCCCCAACCCTCCCCCCTCATTCAGCCCCGGACTTCATGAAACTACGTACCAGTGAAATGATACAAAATGAGTAGGCCTACCCAAAAAAAAAAACAAATCCTGGAGGAAGACTGCAGCGTCTATCTATCCATCTATAGATAGAACAATTACATTGATTTTGGGTGGATCCCTGAGCAGGGCATCCCTTCAGTATGCCATTAATCCCCCCTTCCCCCTTTCCTGAAAGCTAGATCCCGTCCCTGCTAAAGACTCTAAATTCACAGAAACTCCTGCGCTGGGGGAATACTTAACAAAGAACACGTGGGACTGAGCATGACTGCAATAATGAAAAAAGCAGTAAACTCCCTTGACTTGAACTACTTTAGCATTTGGGGGTAAATGCACTAACCCTTATCTCCACAATTTTTATGTTGTGCTGTTATGGGCATCCAACACAGGATAACACTCTAGTGGTTGCTGGGATTGAGTTTGTCTACCCTTTTGTGACATGTACAACTCTCTTTCACAGGGTCAACATGGAGATCATATCCGAGTCACTTTTCAGTTTTATGGCAAAGTTAATTTGGGAATTTAGCAGAATTAACCTAGACCATCCTCACAGCCCATTCACACAAAATGGAAATCATTTCTTCAAACAACTAAACTTACCTGCAATTGCCCTTTTTTTAATACCAACTCAGCAATTAAAATACCAGAATAAGTACAATGACATTAATAAGCATATTTTAAGGCCAAGAAGTGTAGCCGGAGGGTGTTTAAAAAAGATCACCGTTTCAGGAAATAAAAAGGTTTCAAAGGACATAATGGTGCCTACGTGTACAAGCTTTACCTGCAAGAATGCATCCATTGTCTGCATCAGAAAGGATGACGGGAATTCCCTTAACCTCCCCAAACTTCATTTCAAATAGTTTGACCTCTTGGACAGTGTCAGAGAAAAGGCTATAATATGCTGTTGCAGTGAGATCAGAATAGACACATAACAAGAGATGATAGAACGAATTGCGTTTGTTCATAAGAATCCAGTTTCAAACTTGCAAACACTACCACTAATCCCACTGGTAGTTAAAAATTAGCAGTGTGAAAAAATTGTTTGTGACGGGAATTCCTTGAATTTTTTTTCAGTTGTTAACCGAGTACAAAACAAAATAGAATGTCTGGATTTTTTTGTCCACTCATCATAGGTTGGTTGTCAACCATAAAAAGCAATGTAAAATTTAACAACAGACCGATTGTGCCCACTAAGTCACGTTACCTATAGTGGGCATCAAACATTAAGAAACATGGGGTCCTCCCACAGCAAAGTGTGAGATGAGTGTTGTTTACCCAAAATGAAGCCGTTTTTTGGCATTGTGCTCAGTACATCAGTAGTCTGAGTAATTTACCAACTGTTGGCTTTAGCTTTGGTAAATTACACTGACGATGCTCTTTGCCATGGGATTACACCGTGTTTGTTGCTGTTTGATACAGACGATAGGTCACATGGCTTAGTGGATGCAATCTGCCTATCATTCACAAAAGTTCTGCGAAAAGATAAGGATAAAAAAGAAAGCAAATGAGCCCCAACAGAAACAAGAGACTTGACCAAAATTTGCACTTCGGGAAGACACAAATCAATTTGGGAAAAGTCATCTTTAATTTGGGGTTGGAAAAAGGTGCATGCTTGCAAATTGTAATAGTCAACAGTTAGAATCAGTCAATGTGCACACAAGTTTCAGGTATTTTACACACAATAAAGCCTTTTTCGTTTCCACTGCTTTGAACATTGTAAATCACAATTGCAAGTTATACAGAAAAATGCCACATGAGGGCGCTATTTACAAATCATGATACACACTTGCACGTGTAGCCCCAAGACAGCCTCATCAGGCCATTATTGAAAACTGCTACATATATGACCAGCAGTAACACACAAGCCAAAGGAAAGTATCTTTCCATTGGTGCGCATGCCACTTATTATTATGGCAAAAACATGTCCAGAAAAGTTCAATTTAGGATGGAAAAAAACAAGTCGTTTACTTAGAAAACACTTCAAATTTTTCAGACCAGTTCCATAGGGTTTATGCACAGGGTGTCAAGTGGCATCTTTTGAAATTAAAACAATAATAAACAGATCCTTGGGTGATAGGCTGAAAAAATGGCTACAATGAAAATAAAACAGTGCCAAGCCCCATCACAGGTCTAGTTAGCTTTCCTGCAAGAAAAGATTTTACAGGGCAACAGAAAAGCCCTCTCAAGGACTGTGATTGTTTTTAAAGGAGACCATTGAGCCAATCAATGATTCCCACATAGGCTTAAGACTACACTGTCAACAAGACATCTTAAGTTTGATAGACCCAAATGTCTTTTTTTCACGGGAGCAGTATTTCAGCGTTTCAAGGAAACGGATAAATAAAAACAAAGGGTGCCACTTAGTAACAGATGGGTCAAGGCTTGATTGGGGGGAGGTGTTGACATTATAAGGGAAGAGGTCAGTAACTCACAGCAAAGCAAAAGCAATCAACCTAACTAGTTTGGGCAATGACCATATACCAGGCGTTAATATCTGTTAAGTTCAAGGACATGGACCAATTTTGAACAAGTTGGATAAAACATACCAGTCCAACTGCCTGCTCCCTACAGATTTGGGGGGAAACCTGGGGACAGATAAAGGCAAAATGGAAGAGGCTAGACATCCAAAAAGAAACTTGAAGAACATACATAAGCTTGAATATCTTATGCAAGTATAGGTCTAGTCAACACCTGTTACAAGTGATTTGCAAAACACTCACAGCTAAAATCCTCACCTCTCGTGCATTTACCTTAATGGGATCTAAAACCCAAATGTCATAAGTACCATGATACCACTGTGAAAACTCCCTTCTGAACTCTGTTCTCTGTGACTGTCACAACAGAGTCCAAGTTCAAGTGGGACTGAGTTCACTGTTAATGAAAAAACCACTCTAGAGGTTTTGACAACTTGTACTGTCAATTTTTTTTTGGGGGGGGGGGTCGGTTGTTCTCTACCTGACTGATTCCCAACAACAGCAAACAAAGCGTGCCTCTCAAGGGGTCTTTCGGGACCAATGGCACTCCCTTCGATCCCTAGGTCATTAACAGTTCCCCCTGCTGACTTTTTCAAAACCTTTTCTCCCTAAATTTTCTACAGTTTTTAATGTCATGAAAACGAAATTGCCCTCTTAGTATTTATTTTTAGAACACCAGCAGGAACAAAAATCTGCCTGATGAGTTCAGGCTTTGGATGATGGATGATACAAGGAGTGGCATTCCTTAAGGTTTCTATTGGGTGGCGAGAGGGGGGAGACAGGTGTTGAAGTTAAGAATGTTGACCAGTATTTGGTAGGAAAGGGAACTTTGCTACATTTTCAAGTTAGGGTGTTATTTGTTGATTTATTTAAGGCTTTGAAACACACAACCAGATAACTTTTAAGCATGAAGGTATTTTTCAATTGTATGCAAACTGCAAATCACAACAGTGAGCAAGCACCAACAACTTTGGCAAATGCAATTGTTTTAGGGATTTGGATTAATCCAAAAGTCTAGAAGTTCTGCAGCCAATGTAACAAAAATGTGCACAACTCAAACACCTGCTTGCCCAACATGAAAGAACTGATTTTGCAAAACTATGGCCCACTATGGAGTACTAAAGTGAGCACATCATGCACACACTTATGTGTGCCAAAGGCAGAAGTGCAAGAACCAGAATGTGGACCAACACACATGTGTACTCAATTCATTTGTAATGTACTTCTTGGTTTAAAATGACGTTACACTTTGGTACTCTATACAACGTTTTTAAATTCAAATAATGCCAATGAAGATAACCTGGTGTAGTTGCTATATGTGTACATTACATAGATAAATCAATACCAGACACAAACAATCTTTGGAGTAGCTCCACCGGGAATTTAACAAACTATTTTGTCTTCAATACATCTCGAGAAAGGGGCAGCAATTCTTGAAATCCCCCCTCCCCCCGCAGAAAACCAGCATTCTGGTTATTATCAAGTTGAACAGTAATGGGCTTTACATGAACTCATTCATTTTTGATAAATACACTGTTACTTAAACCACCACATAGACACTGTACAAATTACAGCACTTTGAAGCAAAAAGGGTGAAGTGGAATTAGACAGGGTGCCATAACACGTACAACTTTCACATGGGAAAGTTGTGGAATGCAAATTATGCCAACTCATGAAGTTTCATGATATCGGAAGCTAGTAAACAAAGGCCCTCTTAAAATAAGAAAATATAGACACAAATCAAGATTTTAAGAAGTTGTTTTTGTACAACATCAAAGAGAGGATTCTGGTCCAAAATGAAAGGAGACATGATTTTTAAAACCTGCATACAGTTTCACTGCTTTATTGAGGCAAATTAATGAGATACATATACACAGATTACACTGCACATGTTATTGAGGCCATGATGCAGGTATTCTGGTTCTAAGGGACTACCATGGACATATCAAGTACCGGTAGGGTAATCCGAAAACTGTGAGTCGTTATGTTAAAGTTACTTATTTGGCTACTTGAATGCTGTTAGTATTTTTAGAATCACTTATGACAAAATGTGTTTGAGAGTTAAGATATGAAACAAGCCACCTTCCTGAATGAAGCTTTTACAGCTGCTCCTTTGAAATCCGTGATGCTAAGACGTTCACTACCAGATGGACACAAAGAAGGTTAACTAATGGAAGCCGATACACCGTGCTTTGTGATGCAACTGCACTGACAGTGCCCAACTTTGGCATACTTGTGTTTCAGATGACCTCGCACATTCTGTACAAGGGTGCATCACACACACCTTAACTTTGAACGTGTAGCCCTAAAGGTAGACTAACTATCATGACTCCACTCAAGAGGCTGTGAATGTGTCAACAGCTACTGATGTCATCAAAACAATGCTATTTTGCATGTTATTTTCTGCTATACCAAGGGTTGCAAGTAGGTTTTTATAGTGTCATTAGGCAACTAGAATGATAAGCCATTTATACTGAGGTGGCAAGAACGTGGTGGCACAATGCTGGAAGACAGGTGGTGCATGTTCCTAATGTGCCTCTGCGACAAACAGGTGCAGCGACCTGCCAAATACATGTACATGTCCATGTCAAGCTTAAGAATGCGAGTGTAAGTGCAGTGCCGCCGCAGTTACGGCATCTCCTGTGATTCAAGAACGCTTGATTCTAGGCACATCAATACATGACATGCATCAGTGTTCTGCAGTTACATACAAGAATGCTTGATCACTGTGTACATGTATTTTACCAACAAGCATGTCACCATTATTTTTATCACTCATGTTAAAAAATACATGTAGCATATAAATACCTGGTGCATCTCACATCAGTTTCTTAGAAACTTATGGTTAAAATTTAAACTGATTAAAGCAGAACGTACATACTGATTGTGCTTGGTGATAAATTGCGATGCATTTCCCTAAAATTGAAGGGAAAAAGTAAGTCTTTAACCTGCTTTGACCAATATAAATATACTTGAAAAACATTGTCATTTTTCAAAGAAAAAAAACGGTCTTTGAAATCAATAAAAGAAATTCCTAATTTGGTCCAAAATAATCTCAGTAAATAAAACACAGTACAACAATTGTTTTTCCAAAATGTACACATTTATATATGAAGTCTTGATAAAATAAAATGCTTCAATAATACTACATAAGTCATATGTCTTTGCAATAGCAGAGGTTTCTGTTGTTTCTTGTCAGGGTTTCCATGGTCTTAAGTACCAAGGTGAACTGAAGAAGTATATAATGTACAACACATTTGGAATAAATTACCACTGCAAGATTGGACAGGATCATACATTTCTCCATGCAATATTACTCCAATTTTCGCAGACTGACAGTTGTAATCTTTGTCACTGAATACGGATTTGCATTTGGCATACATGCAATGTACAGCAGACGTGGACTCAGAGACATTTTTTTCATTATCGGGCTGTGTCCAAAAATTTACGGCTGTGGCTGGTAGTCACACATGTTATTGAGGGAAGTAAGCCTCAGCCAGTGGCTTCCATAGGCACACACGTCATTGCTAGCCACAGCCCCCAACATTTGGGAAGAGCATGGAGCCATAGGCAGAGCCTGTAATGGCACCAGGTTTACTGCATATATGAGTTTAATGCAGGAACAGTGGATATAAGTGCTAGGGCTGTGACAAATATCCGATTATTCGATCGATTATAAATTATCTGAATTTGAATATTAAAATGTAAAATTCAAGACAAGGAAGGGAGAATTTCCTTTTGTTTTACATGAGACTAATTGCACTATGGAGGCTTGTTTCATGCAGATTCAAATTGAAAGCCACAGAAATCTTACCAAGATTCAGAGAGCAAATTATTCATTAAAAAATTTAAAAGGACTGGAAATGTTCAACAGGACAAGAAGTATTGTTCGTCTCTTAAATCCTGCTACATGTAAATTGTGGCTGGAGATATACTCCTAGACATAAAAAGCTATCATAATGATTATAATGTATGATCGTGTGTGCTATTGCAACTGATATTTTGTATGGCTTGTTCATTAACAATCTGCTGGATATTCAGATATTCGATTGAATTGAAGGTTGAATATTCAAATAGTGAATTATTCGAATTGACTCAGCCCTAATCAATGCATAAACATGTACATAGCCATTAATGAGAGCAACAAGGGTAGGTCATGGTGCATGTGCACATGGTGCAAGACAGGACTTCTACAATTTTCCTCTTGATAAGTACAATCTTGATACGCCTGCCGTGTCTCTAAGTAGGGGCCAAGCACACACAGCACCAATGGCTTCCATTATCTATCATATCTTTTTGTTTGTCTCCATTGCACACGGTCCACATTCTCACAAAAACGGCATCAGAAGCAGAGTGTTACCAACGTTTCCGATGATATACCAGTATGATAAACATGAGCACATCAGTCCATGTCCTTTGTAAATCATCGCAAAAATTCCACATCAATAAACTGTTCAGAGATTGTTACTTATGGCACAAGATGATTCCAAAGTCTGTTAGAGTAGCTATTGCAGTTCAGCTGTATCAGCAGCCATGGTTTGAGTATCCAAGAGCAAAAGGAACAGTACAATACTCTGTTCTATGGCCAACAAAATGGTGACTGGAGAGGAGGCCATCATCTTCCCACAATGCACTGCTGTCCTCTACATGCGTCAGACATGATTTTTCCCACACTGAAAACAGCCATCAAGAAAGGATTCTACAGATATTTCTTGACTGTTGAGGGTCTTCTGTCTTCCGTTCAATAGTTTCTTAAATATATTTTGGTTACAACTGGAATACTGCCAAAAACTCTGTAGAATCCTCTTCTTAATGGCAGGATGACATGAAAAATTGGAAAGAGCCCACCTGGAACTGTTGATCGTAGCATGGCTGCCAACCTCTGACCTTGCAATCTCAGCAGATCCATACCCACAATGCATTGCAGACACTCCCATGATGCACTGCAGTAGTTGCCAATTTCGGCATGGAATGCACAAAATGCAGCTGCCACAGTTTGTCCCTTTATTTATGCAAGCTTTGGCTGGGCATCCCAGCTCAGAGGTCAAGACCCTGGGGTCATAGGTGCAGATGTTTCATGTGTGGGTGGTTCCGCAATGCAAGCATCAGTTCTTCCTCGGTAGGCTCAATGAGTGCATCTCTACGACCAGACAGGAAACAATCAACAATTAACTCAATCCTGAAGAATTTGCACTTGACATCTTGTGGCAACGACCCATTTAATATACTGTCATTCTCTAATCCTATTAACGCTAATGTTATCTACAGCTACTTTAATCTACAGCCTTTTCTGTTATTACAGACTTCAATTCTTTCACTTTAAAGAGATTCAGCATAATAAGAATGAATTTACCTAAGATTTATAATACAAACATACAGATCTTAATTAAAGTTGAAACCGAATTTCTTTTGGGTACACACCACTCCTATGAAGGATTTTTCAAACTCTTTGAGTCATTCCCGGTCTCAGCTCCAAGACCTTCACACTCTTCCTTTTCAGATTAATTCAAACAGAGGGCGCTATATTTTGGTTCCTTTTCTGACTTCAAGCACCCTCTGACAGTTATGGTTCGTGATCGGGAGAATAAACTACAGGAGCACAGGGAGGTCTTGGAACCAAGATTTGGAACCAAGACTACATGTATGTCTTGCCTAGTCTTCCAATCAGGCATAAGAATCCTGCATGGAATTGCCGGAACACTCACCTGAACATGTTGTGAACCGACATCTGGTAGCTTGGCTGACGGTTGGGATCCCCTGAAGCTTGCTGTTGCTGCTCCCGATCCCATTTGGTGATGAAATTCTGGAGGGACCAAAACACAAAGATGAAAGGGAGTAACATGTCAAATTACCAATGGTGCTGTACCACAACACATTTTTGGTCACAATCGAGGATTTTCAAAATCAAATACAAATTTGGCTGCTGAGATCATGCGCACATTTTGAAAACAATTTTATGAAACTGTGAGGTACCATTTTGGTGCCTGACAGACGGTGCTTAAGTGAAAATAGTGGAAAGAAATCTGAGAATGAAAATCCTGTGTCCCATACACTCTGGCCCTGCTCTTGGCTGTGACAAGGAAAAAAAATCTGGAACCTTTAGAATTTGCAGCAGAAGAATTTAACTTGGAGATAATTTCACTACAAAGGTACATATACACGTAGCATGGGAAAACTCACCTCGAGGATGAGGGCAGTAAACACATTTAGGCAGACCAGAACAGACACGAAGTACCAGGCTATGAAAAATAAATGGGACCACCTGCATGAGAGAGGAAATTAAATCCAAACATTCAAAACCAAATTAGGCTGCTGAATGTTTTTGAGCCACTTCAGGCTGGACGAAGTTTAAACGTGATCAGGCCATCTGTATCCACTCTGAACAGGAACAAGAGAGGGCATGGTTTTTCACAGAATCAGTGGTCTTTTGACTGAACTCAACAGGTAAGCGCTTAACTTTTTTATGCGCATTCGGAGCAGTACATGCTCATGGGAAGCACAACCTCTTTCTATTCTAACATACGGGCCTCTGCATAAGCACCAGGAGAGTGCACGCATCCATGTGGGAAAACTTCCTACCAGCTCGTCTCTGCTTTGGCGGTGAAGGTGCACTTTAACTTGGGGTGATACACAGACATGGCTGATGGGTTGTACTGCCACGTGTGCCCTGATGGCTGATGCTTGAGCACATGCTAATCCCCAATTTGGTTTGTACATGTACGAACACACAAAGTCTTAGAAGTCTACGGAGGCAGACCTGACATTGAACTTGAACTTGGCTGTTCCACATGAAACACTGTGATAATAAGAGTCTTGAAAAATACGAGGTCACAGTAACAAATACTGCATGAATTTTGTTCAAAAGACTCTTACGTACGAGTTGTTTGGAGGTATTCGGCTGTATATGTAAGTATCTGGCCTATTTTGAAAGTGGAAAGTTTCTGCCGAAACGGTACAGTCTACAAGTGAGGCACATTTTGGAGAAAAATAAGGCTCTAGCTTGCTGCCAGCTAGTGAAAGGCAAAACAACCCCATAACAGATTTGCCATTAAAAATCTCAATCCGTCAGGGTTCATACAGAAAATCTAAAACTATATTCCAGGACTTCTCCATGACCTTCCATCAAAAAAAGAACCCTTGCATGATTTTTGACGACTCTTCAAGACAACTTTTTTCCCAAGGATTTTTCAGAATTTTCTCTGACCATGGGAACCCCGTAATTACTCCACAAAATCAATGGAACTTCACTTTTTTTATGAATCAAAGGGCAAAACACCAAGAATACACCTACTGATTGACTTTTGGAAACTTACCTGCTTGTTACGTTAGCATACTCCTTCAGAAACACGTGCCAGTTATTGACAACCATGATATCAAAGAGAACCACCAATGCAGCCTGCAAGACAAAAAAACAAAAAAACCCGGAAGGACATCATTCTAAGAACTGAATACACATGCTGTTAGGAAAATACTCAGTTTTGTAAGATCAGCGTACAGTCCAAACCATTGAATTCTGAAAAAGAAATCTGCACGTGAATTTATAAAGGCCTGGCATTCAGAAAAACCATCAAGATCCAGATTTCTGTCTGACAGATGGTACAATTCTGAAATCAGAGCCTCCCTGATTGCTAAAGAGAGAAGTCGTTGGAACCATTTCAAATTGGTGCCTGGCGTACGCACTTGACCACCCACTCCAGCAGAAACTGGTCCCATGTGCTAAGCAAAACCTGTGCCAATTTGAGCACAACCTTTGCGCACACTTGGTCTGTCCCCCATCAAACTGCCACCCCTTGTTCCTCCACACAGTGTGGTCACAGCAATGAAGTTCCCACATCCTTAACACACAAAAAAATCAACAGTGCCCCGCGAAATACATAAAAACTAAATAAGGACTCCCTCTGAGGTAAAAGGAACCTGATTTCAGGAAGGATGGGGGCAAATTTCAAACACCACTGAATATGAGATTGAGAAATTGTAGTTACATGGTACATCATCCTTGACATGTGTCCTGATCATGTGCACACAATTTGCCACACGGTGACACCAGGTATCGGATGTGTTTAGTTTTGCATTTATTAACCTGACTATGCCGATCCAACGACAGGACAGGAAATTAGGGGATAAACTATCATGTTCACAAGTTTGCCCTTACAAGTAGTACTGAGTGAATAAAAAGCCCTTGTGGCAAGGTTCATTGCTTGTGAATACATCTATCCCCAAGCTGAGTTCCAATCCACACTTAGGAGATTCTAGCCATCACTACAAATGAGTCCAACACCTCAACTACTTCAAGGATCCAGATGGCAAACTTTGCAAAGGTAGCCAAGGTTTGAGCTGCATGCACATTTTTTGCAGTTACTTACTTTTTTGCATTTAACAGTGTGACTACGATGTTTACCTAATGCTTACCTTTGAAAAATATCAACTTCTGAGATATGATACAAGAAAGTCTTAAATTAGATTATCCATTAGAGCAACGTATGCATTTTCCTCACTCTCTTAAACAATGACATCACTGCTGTTCAGGCTTCATTAACATTTTGATTCTTCATGTTGTATCATATTTGAATGTCACGTTTGTGGTCACTTAGGCTGGCAAAAGGCTCTGCTATACTTTGAACTGAAACTAAATATTTGGGCTAGCCCCGAGGACTGAGGGCAGCATTAATCTGCTTCCACGCATTCAGGTCACACCAACAGCCCTATTTCTAATTGTTGCCCTCAATGCAAATTATTTGATATGGCTCAATTTCACTGAAGTGCAGAATGAGTACAAACCATCTGCAAGCACGATGTCAAAGGGAAAATTAGAGCCCTCCAATTAATTTATGCACAGAACTCATCCATTCACAGACCATTCCACCTCAGAAACATTGAGAGTTGGCTCAAACTGTTCACTCTGAGCACTTCTTGCTGGAAAGACCATTCTGCAGTTGGTCAAGTTGGCTGCACCTTCAACATGTGGCTCAAGTATCGTCTTTTTCATTGTGAAATCTGTTTGATCTCAGTGCCAACTTGTTCCCAACTTTTTCTTATCAATCATCCCACTTTGCCAATACTGATATGAATAGCAAGGACTATATGTTGAATGCTTGAACAAAGGCATGAAAGAAAGTCAGTGATTCAACAGGGAATCGAGGCCGTGATCTGGCCAGAATCTCCTACACTTCAGTATACAGATTAGCCATCGGAGTAGAAACGTTATCTTACTTGCGGTGGAAACAAACAGTACATACTACCATGGGTGCAGGTGTTTCATCTGGTGAATGCAGGCCTGAAGACGTTTACAATGTCAGCGAGGAGAGCATCTCTCTCTGGCTCTTCACTCCTATGGATACCACTATCATTACCATAGTCTTACCCATCATTCTAAGCCTTGGCATCATCAACAACACTACTTTTCTCTATGTCGTGTTCCGCATTCCTAAAATGCGATCTGACACCAACCTGTACCTGGCAGCCCTAGCATTGGCAAACCTTTTAAACGTCACTATGAACTCTTCGTACCACATTTGGCGTTACACGGCGTCCCCCGTTGTATTCCACTGGCTGCTTTCCAGTTTGGCCGAGTGCATTAGTTATTGGATGGCAGTGCCTGCCTGTTACTATGCATCCACAGCACTGGTGCCCGCAGGGTCGTACGAAAGGTACTTGGCCCTGTGCAAGCCGATGAAACATCTCCGAATTCGTGGACAAAAACGAACCTGTAAAATGATTGCCATCTGCTGGCTGATAGGGCTTGTGTAGGCAGTTCCAAGAGGGGCATTCAGTTCGGTAATCTACCAAGAAAGGTGTGTCTTCTGGCCAGATGACGACATATTTCCATCAAAAATTTCATTCTGCCACAATTTAGAATGAAATGCAGCATACTACAGTGACTAAGTAACATCCCTCGCCTGGTTTATTACCATGATGACCAACATGTACATGTATGTCAAAATCACACTGAAATTGCACCAACGGAAGGGCATTAACCTTGGAATGCAAAGACAGCAGAAGGCAATTCAGATCCGAAACTAGGTGGCCAAGATGCTGATTGTCAATGGTGTTGTGTTCTTCCTGTGCCAGACACCCAGTCCATTCCTGTATTTTAGCGACTGGATCTGCCTGTTGGCCAAAATCCAGAATCCTATCCTAACAGCTCTGGGGAACAATAACGTATGGTTGATCGGAATTCCCGAGATGATCAACGGCATCGTGAATCCTCTGATTTACAGCGCAGTCAGTGCACAGTACCGGGATGCGATGATCCAAGCATTATGTTGTCGCAAGGATGAGGCCAGGAGACAGGGATGTGCCCTTCCACATGCTGCTGGCACAGCAAATGGCAGCCAAGTCACTATTCAAAACCCTGCTTGTAATGGTCCAGCTATTAACAACAATCAATGCAACCATGTTTATGAAACTCGACTTTGAATAGAGAAAATCCAACTTGTCTAAACGCCAACAAAGAACACCACAACAACAGGTAAAAAAAAATGCAAAAGATCACTTTATTTTCCAGTTGTCATCAGTGAAGAAACACCACATATCTGTCTATTTTGGTTTGACTTTTCAATATTTCCCAATTTTTTAGTATGTTTTAATTAGCCAGAGTTAAGATTTCTAATGCAAATTCTTTTCATTTGTACACATTCAGTTGTAGTACATTCTTATATTTAGACTCACATATGGCAGACATTCTTCAGCTGGGAGGGTCTCCTTGCCTGTGGTTCTTTGAGTGTGTATGACTATACATCTGAAACTCTTTGAATTCACCAGGCACAAAGACCAATACCATGCTTCTAAGGGCCCTGACTGCTGTAAGATTGTATCAAGTTTGATTTACATCAAACAAACTGTATTGCTTGTCATTACCCTGCTTGAACAATCTAGCTCCAACTTTTGATAGGTAAGCTGCAACTAGATCCAAGACAGCCTCCTGCAGAAACAAAGCAATCATTGGGTAATCACTTATCCCAGATAAGTGGGTAACTGACTCTAGTGGATCTGCCCAGGTCAGCTTGAGTGATAATTGATCATAAAGTAAGTACATTGTACAACATGGTCAAGTGAATGGCTGGAAGGTCAGTGATCACAGATAAGTTCCATAGGTGAAATGGTATGTGGATGTTTTTGCTTGACAAACGTCTGATTTAAAGCCTACCTCCAAGGAGAAATTTTTGTAAGAAGAAAAAGAAGTTCGTAAAACCAAACAGTGTAATTTGACATTTTAGTTTGCAGGATGAAAAGGAATCAGAACCAAGGGGTTTACCATAATTCCATGACTGCAGTCAGATGTAAAAGCAACTGCTTTGTTAGAGAATGAAATTATTTTGGAGGATCACTCTCTTATCATGTGACCAGAATGTGGAAATGTTTAAGCTGTTCAATTGATTAACCAGAGAAAGATCATATCAGGTTTTCTACAAGGCTGATGCAACCCATAGACTCTGATATTTTAATACATCATTTCATGGAAATTATTTACCCATGGGAGATGAGAATCCACTATCATGACTGGTTAATTTCCTTACCACTTTCAAGTCAGAAAGGATTCGGGTAGCAGAGGTATCACCTTTTATCCTGATGGAGATATTCTGGGAAAAGGTAACTTTTCAGGTCTAAAGACAGTTTCTGTGGAAATGAAATTACTGATTACTTCACATGTCAGTGTAGGGTACTGGTTAGAAGATTTGAGGGGCTTCAACACTGCTCTGCTAATCTGCAATCAGCAACAGTCAAATGTGACAAATAGCGCTAGCTGGAATTCAAAAAGTATCATGGAAAGATAACGTTCAGGATCTGAGCACACACATCATTGATAGCATTTTAGAAGAGAGCCCAGATATATACTTATATACAGGAAGTCGTGGACTATGCAGGGTCAATCACAAAATGGTACACAGCCTCCTTGAAAAGATGGTACATTCACTCTCATTGGGTTTAGAGAGTACCATCTGCCAAAAGCCATCAACTTATTTTTTACTTATTTACCAGTACTGCACGAGGCACTAAACTTGTCAAGACTACATTCTCCACAATTAATTAATCTGGAACGTACTACATGTACCTGAACTGGGCAACCGATCTATTTTAAATTAGATTAGTGCTCTGAAATATGTGATTGCTGAGCTTTTGGTAACCGAGCACCTTCTTCAAGGCAAGCAGATCTGCTTGCCCTGAAGAAGGTACTTAGTTACCAAAAGCTCAGCAATCAAGTAATTCAGAGCACTGATTTGATATTATATTCCTGCCGATATTCTGATCACGATGCTATGCAGCCCTCCCATATTTCTCTATTTCAAATTAGATCTGGGCAAGAATGAGGGTCTAAAATCAAGAGCCCTAGTTCCACCGTGGTGCTTGATCCCCATCAATCAACACGGCTCAATTTCTGAGACGAAAAAGACAAAA